CTAAATTATTGCTTCTATCTCTTCTAGTCTTAACCTCTTTTCTTTCTCCAAACTCACTGGTTCAGTTGCTTCCTCTACTTCTTGATTGGAGCTCCACTTTTCTCCTTTAATAGCATTGACACACTGCTTTTGTTCCTCTTCTGATTGTGGGTTATCTGAGGCCCAAGAGTGTCTAACGGACTCACAAGCACCATGAAAAGCAGTCTCCTCTTGACTATGTGGCTTAGCTTCATTCCTATGACTTATTGAGCTCTGATTCAGTACAGAATGGATGAGAAGATCGACCATAAAATCAGTTGTGCAGGTTCATGTTGTTTTAACTATGTTCTGCTATAAATGTGACGTTTGAGTTAGTTAACTTTACCCTTGTCAATTAACAACAGGCAAAATTAAACCATCTGAAAAGTGGCTGAGAGGCAAAACAAAGCTCAAAGTACACCAATATTTAATACCTTAATTATCGTGCCTTTTGGTAGTCTTAGAAAGACGTTCTGCCTCAGTATCATATTTTAAACCCCTAAAGCGTTCAAGGAACAATCTCGGACTGTGTGAGAGGCAAAAATATTACATAAGAACCTCTTTTTATTCAAACAACTATGTTTACACTTAATTGACTAACACACCAATAGGGTTTGAATTATCCTTGAAGTTAGAAAGCTGCAAAATCCAATCTCTCTTAAAGTTGAGAAGCTCCTCTCGAAATGTGAGGTCTCCTTCCCTAGAAACCGGTGAATCACATTAGTGTTTCCAGTGCATTTTTTTGTAACTTTCAGTGTAATTTGCTGAAGCAAAAAAAAAAGTGGATACACATAAATTTATCGTGTTCATTAACTTCAACCTTAAAAAACAATCAGTACTGTCCAATTTTTGGTTTTGTGCAAGCTGCGGGAAATGATGCATTTATCTACTTGAGCACAAGTCACTGTTGTTGCCATGAAGATATCTACAAAAGAGATACAATAGATAAATAATTTCAGAGATGTAAGGATCTTGAGAAAATAATTGATAACACAAAATGAAAAACACTCACTTCTGAGATGACAATCTTTAGGAGGACACTCGACATTATTGGTAGCTTTGAATATTGTTAGGATTGTAAGTAGTAGAGAAAACGGATCCTTAATGATCATTAGGGCACCATAAACTTTACTCCATGACTGCGGAGTTCCCATTGAAAGAGACTCTGTCAGATCTCTAACGGAAAACAGATATTAAAGTGAAGAAGGCTGAATAATAGGAACGCAATATAATTAGGTCGTCTCTATTTTCATTGACGATTTTACGCTTAATGAAATATATGTTTTAAAGAAAATTTGGTGGCACAAAAAGTAATATCCCAGGGAAGAGTAGGGGTAATTTCATAAAAGGGATCCTGTTTTAATAGTATTGATTACACCGAAATAAGTGATAATAAAATGAAGGAAGTTCTCTCAGGTTTGGGAATAGTACTGATCTTTTAAAATTCTGATGATCCTAACTCGAAAGTCCTTAGATAAGAACGGGGTTTTGGTTCATGGAGAGGCTGGCCGCCAAGAAGGATATCTGGATCTCGTGTCTGCGCTCGAGTTAGATGTCTTGAGGCAAAGGATGCTGATTTGATAGTAGATTTCCATTGCTTGGAAACAGATGTGAATCTCACAAGAGATTTTATACCAAGTCTCTGCAATATCTCTTCTACAAGAACCTGTGGGAGTCGTTCCATATGTATTTTTCTAGTTTCATAAGACTTATTAGGGTTTGTTATTTGGATAGATTTGCACATTGCATTTATTTATAGTTTGCCACTTTTATTAGGTTTTATTGTTTCCGAATACATCGTATATAAAGAAAAAAAACTAAGGCAAGGTAGTTAGTGAATATCATTAATTAAATTTAGTTGATTAGATATATGAATATTCATTCGTTATACAATAAGAAGTACTAGGTGATACCCGCGCGCATGCGTGGAGTGAATTTTTTTATATGAATGTTTGTTCGGTTTTAATATTTTGTAACACTATAATCTTTATCGATTTTAAAATAACGAATACAAATGTTAGTCTCTTATATATATCATATGTTTGGGCTTTCGAGGATTCATCGGTTTTGGTTTGATTGATTCAGAATTTCAAAATTTTGGTACTATGTTTTTTAGACCCATTCAGGTTTTACTAATTATTGGATCGGTTTCGGTTTGGTTCCTTCCGGATTTAATTTGGATCGGATTGTAACCAAAATCTGAAATCGTCCCAAAAAATATTTTTGAAACCTCAAAATTGACAAAAAAAAATTGTCAAAATATTTAAATTATTCGTAAATCTAATTTAAAATTACTTAAACTATCTAAACTAACTATATGATATTCAAAGAAAAAATAAAATAAACTACAAAAATCTTTCGAATACAATAAAATATATAAATTACCTTGATATATAAAAGTATATTAACATATTATATTAATTTCAGATATCTTCAGATCTAGTTCGGATTTCGGTTCGGTGCAGATTATAACCAAATCTCAAAGTACTAAGATCATAAGTCTTGTTCGGATAAATTATAATAGCTACATTGGGTATCATGGAAAAATAAGTATTAGACGAATGATCAAATCTCTCATTCTTCGAACAAACTCAAAAGGAGGTGACTGGACTTGTCATGCTATTTCATTAAAAGCTTTTTAGGAATAAATATCAAGATTAAATTATTTAACTTGAATGAAGTAATATATATATATATATATATATAGTGTTTCCAGTATTAAAAATCACTTCGATTTGAAGAAGTTTAATTCACGGATTGTCAAGATCAAATAACATATTAGAAATTACATATTTAAAAATTAATTTGTATATGTAAATGTATATACATTAGAGTAAGCACATAAATCAAAACTAACATCTTTTGTTAATTTATAATCATGTTTTGGTAATTAAATAAAAACAACCATTTAGTTTACTTTATATTGTATATAATTAATAATAATTAATTGATATATATATTAATCATATTAGGTAATTCTGTAGTTTTTATTTAAGGAAAGAAAGAATATTTGTTGTATACTAATAACTAATTTGATAGTTAGTTTAATAAAAATATAATATATAATTATATGGACCAATTTATCCCATTTATTTTTATAAGAATTTTGAGAATTATCTCGATGATGACACGTGGCTACGAAAACATGTTGTAATGTTATAAGATTAATATATAAGGGATTTCTATATTTTTGTAACAAAAGATAAAACAATTGTTCACAACATTTTCACTGTAAGACTTATAATAGTTTTAGTAGCCGTTTTTTAAAAAAAAGAATAACATATAAGAAAAAAATATAATTTTTTATTATATGGTTAATGTGATTGTCTATTTTTTTAATAATATAAATTAACAAAAATGATGGAGGATAGAAAAATTATTATCAAATCTTTATTATTTAAAATCATTAATTATCATATATATGTTAACCATATTATGTAATTCCTTAGGTTTTTACTAAGGAAAGAATGAAGAATATTCTTTATGCACTACAAATCATTTTAATAGTTAATTTAATAAAAAGTATATTTTATATTTAGATGGACCAATATACTTTTCTAAGGATTCTAATTATGATTTTAGTGATGACACGTGGCTACACTTAAATATTGTAATGCTCCAAGATTAATATATAAGGGATTACACTAAATATTAGTCAGAAAAAGTGTTACACTAAATATTAGATATATGAATATACATTCGTTATATAATAAGAAGTATATTACACTAAATATTAGTCAAAAGAAGTGTTACACTAAATATTAAAATAAAAACTTTAACATGTTCAACTAAACAGAAGTCAAGCTTGGAATATAAGAACTAGCGTCAAATGTCAAGCTCTGAAAATCAGAAAAGAATAAGGACTTGTTCTAGTAGCTGATAGTTAAAGTCCTGATCACTGATAAAAAAATGAAGACTTTCTAGAAAGCAATAGACGAGCTAAACCAGCTGGTACGATTCTCTTTCACATATGTTTTGGATTTGGCAATTTGTAACTTCTTAAGCTAGGAAACTGTAGAAGTTACTTGAGTTTTTTTTTTTTTTGGTTGTTCACTAGTAGATTGTTCTTTCTCATTGTTGCTCTCATTTGGTTCTCCTCAGGCGTTCAAGAGCGTTGCAAAATCCTTTATATAATCTATCTATGCCATGTTATACCTCTTAATAATTGGTAAAAGAAACCTTTTTAAACATCCCTACTCAAAAGAGTCTCTCCCTCTCTCGGTTACATTTATTCACAACACACATTATACATCAAAGAAAAAAATATTATTCTTGTGAAACACTTGTTTTCAGAAGTTAATAATTCAAAAACAAGCTCAGTCTAGGAGAAGCTGGTTACATCTCCTGAGGACAACTGGTAGGGTACTCTACATGGCAAGCAAATGTGAGAGGCATGAGTTAAACAAATTTATGCACAATGGAGTTAACAAACGAATCAATGAGACATTAACTATTCCCTCTTAAAAAATTTCTTGTTTACTTGCGCCGTTTCCGTGGGTTTATGGTTTCGAACAAACCAAAACAGGCCATATGAAAATCTCTACAACATTCAACCCAAGAGGATACTCTTTATTTGTTGGGTAAACAGAAGCTTTTCTCTTGGAACTTTGTGCTACACATCATTCCCTTACAGTCGGAACTTTCTTTCTATTCAACAACATGGTCTATGCAACATTGGTTGGTAACCTAATCTCCAACATTGGTCTATGAATAATCTGTATAACAACACACAGAATCACGTTTCGAACCTCCAAAATCCAAAAGTACAAAACCAAAAAAGGACTGCATACAGACCTAAAACTAACTTCTCCTTAGGTCATTGCAAAATCCTTGAGTAATATTCAACCCAGTGCTCTCAAAGAAATCTCCTTGTACTCTGTGTGGCCTAAGTGTAAGTCAACAACAACAAAAATAAGTACTCAATATAACTTCAAGATTTTCTCATTCATATGATATATGGAGTGAGCACAAAATAATACCTGAAAAAAAAAAACAGCAGTAGAAAGGCCCACTTCTTGACTAACTCCACATCAGGTATAATATAATAGCCCTTCTCTATCACTTGAACAAATATTATACAATACAGTGGATGTTTCACCAATCAAACAAGTCACTCTGACCTTGCCTGCTCACTTACCAGTTTCACTCTTTTCCTGTAAAAAGAAGAAACAACGCAAATAGTGGATAAGGCAACTATTTGCTTGTAGCAAATAGATTGGAAACGAGATGTTTCTTCACCTGCTCTTCAGTATTCACTGGCAGACAGTTCTTGCCTCCATTGTACTGGAACTTGAATGATTCAGAATAGCTAGTTGACTCTCTAATATCAATAATGAGCTCTGAAGAAGAGATGTTTGAGGATCCACTTGTCTTGCGAGGAGAACACGTCTGGTTTGATTGATAAGCCTCTGCTTCTAATGATGATAACTCAGAACCAGCTCCCGGTAGACATATAACAACACTACTTGAGTTTCCTACCTTCTCAAAACTCCACATTGATGGATTTTGCGGAAGGAGATCTTTCGCTGGATGATTCTGTTCTGCAGCAACCATAACAGAGTCACTTGACAACTTCTTCCCCACACAGTCCAAGGCAACTGGATTTACACAGGAGCTTTTGCTATACGATTCAACACAAGATAATGCAATGTGGTCAGGTCCTGAAGAATCAGGTATGCACAACTTACCCCAGTTTTTTCATTGCATGGTTGCATAGCAGATGATGCTAGAGATCGCCTTTCACCATTGGAATGATCATCAGAAGGTTCTTGAGTACTGTCTTTCATTGCTGAACTAATAGATGATTCTCTCCTTACATGCTCACCCTTGTCTTGCTCTAAGCTCTTGTGTTTCTTACACTTTGTGCCATTATCAGAAGAATGTGGAGAATTTCTCTCATACACATTGACCGATCAAAATTAATCCAGTCTAATGGATCGAAAGTTAGATCAACTGAAAGGATAATACCCTCTTCCAAACTGACATGAAACTCAAAACTAGGTCTACCTCTTTCATTCTATTTTCTAGCTGAGGATCCATTGGACCCTATTCATTTAATTTCCTCATATATTCAGCACCAATCAAACCACCATTTCGCTCCTACATTCCCATAGAAAACGTTTAAGAGACATTAGCCAGTAAAAGAGTGGCCGAGAATTAAGAAGTAACTGTAGAAAATAGAAAACCTTTATGCAATTTATATCAATAAATCTCTTTGAGGTACATTCGACTTCACTGATATAACTTATGTGCCATGTTCCATAAAGGCGCATCTTATTCAACTATCCAAACAATTGTAAGCGAGCCTCGGTTTCAAGAAAATGGACATTTTATAAAAAGGTGAATCTAACCTGAGTTTGTGTACTTTCAAACCACGCAGCCATCATAAAGATGTCAAAAAAAAAAAACCTGAGTTTGTGTACTATCCCCAAGGATAAAGCTGGTTCTCTAGCCACTTTACCTCGAGAACAACCCCCTCTGGTTATATTCCTTTCGTGACCCAAAGAATCTGCAAAAACATTCTAACCAGTCTTCATAAATTGCTTAATAACATAAAACAAGAGAAAACTTACAGCAACAGAGATAAATTAGCCAAACCTCTTTTCATATCCCAAGTTATACTCGTTGGTTCTCCAGAGGATGTAGCTGAACTACCTTGAATCCCAGCGACCCCAAAGCCTAATGAGTCTAAATTATTTTTCTGCAACTGTTAAGACACAACACATGATTAAGGTGTCAAACAAAGAAAATCATCAGGAAAAAAAAACGAAAAGGCATGTGACCACAGTAACTATCAAACCAACAAGGTATGAACAAACATATTAATGATATCAGATTACATTCAAGCTAATGATATTAAAAAAAATATCTCTTCAGCCATATCTGTCCTCGATCTATTAGCCGGAAAACTATACTTCTTGCACAAACTCTGAAGCTCTTTCCTCGAAAACCCACCATAGAATTCCACATCCTTTCTCCTTACCATCTGTTACCGTTACTACACCCCCTTTACAAAAAGATTTACACTTTTATAGAGCTTGGAAACAAAAAGAAAATGGCAAAGCACTGTACAAGACATTCCCAACGGTAACAAATTTGAAACAATATAAAAAGATATCTCCTCAACACACATAGGTAACAAATCTAGGAACAGAGTTCACCCGTTTTATTTGGAAGAAATAGTTTCAGCTAAAAACGACATAAACTTTGTGTAAAGAGAATGGTTCATGTTACAGAACATCAAAACCTAGGAGAGTAAACACTGACAAAAGAAAGATAAAAAGTCTTTAACCATTAAAATCAAACGAATTTGAAAATATTAAGAAGCGGCATACTTGCTACTTTTTCCAGGAATTTTGCCGATAAAGTGTTAAAATTTTTATGGGCAAAAATGAAGTAAAGATTTCGAAATCTGCAAGAAAGTAAGTAGACAGAGGAGCCCACTTCTGAGGAAATTGTCTCTTCAAATATTGACGTGGCATAATATCAAAACTTATCGTAAGCCCATCTTGATCTTACAATAACCCTATTTTAAGCTGTCTTGAAACTAGACGAGACTTGGAGATTGTGCTTCTAGGCAGTACTGATTCGCTCCATGCTTCAAATTCTACGAACAGTGAATGCAATTTACTGGGACATATTCTCCAAAGGTAGCCTTCTAGTAGTAGATCATGGGAAAGGAACCTTTGGCCAAACTAAAAGAAGGATATATACGGATGGTGCGAATGAGGAAGTTATAACTGATATGTTTATTATATATATATCCGTTATATATTAATTGAGGAGCATTACATCTTTTGAGTGTAGCTACGTGTCATTACCAGAATGATTTTTAAATTCCTTAGAAAAATAGATTGATCCATCTTAATATAAATTATACTTTTTATTAAATTAACTCTCAAAATGATTAGTAATGCATAAAATAATTTGTATTCTTTCCTTAAATAAAAACGACGGAATTACCTAATTGATTAACATATATATGGTAATTAATGATTTTGAATAATTAAAATTTGATAACAGTTTTTGCGTCATCATTCCCTTTTGTTTAATTTATAGTATTAATTTTTTAAAACAATCACATTAATCATATGATAAAAAATTAACTTTTTCTTATATTTTATATTTGAATTTTTTAAAATGACTATAAATTTTTAAAAATGTTAAAAAAACTAACAATGAAAATTTTGTGAATATTGTTTTTTACTTTTTTGTTATAAAAAGATACAAATAATCAAAAAATCATATGAATATAAAGTATCATTTAATAGATATTCAGATTATATGTATGTGCCTTGTTGCTTGAGAAGATTTGTTTGTGCCTTTCTTGTGCATGGATTCCATAAGAAAATGGAGGACTCGTGGTGATGAACATGCGATAGAATTCCACATCCTTTCTCCTTACCATCTGTTACCGTTACACAAAATTGCAAAACTGTAAAACTTTCCCAAAGGTCACAAATTTAAACAATATAAAACGATACCTCCTCAATTTCACACATAGTTCACAAATCTAGGAGCAGATTTCACCCATTATATTGGAAGAAATAGTTTCAGCTAAAAAAACAGAAACTTTGTGTAAAGAGAATAGTTCCTGTTACAAAACATCAAAACTTAGGATACTAAACACTGACAAAAGAAATATAAAAAGCTTAACCAATTAAATCAAACGAATTTTAAAATTTTAAGAAGAAGCAGCATACCTGATCTGCTTTTTCTGGGAATTTTTCTGAGAAAGTGTGAGAATTTTTATAGGGAAAATTGAAGTAAAGATTTTGAAATCTGCAGGGAATGAAGCAGACAGAAGAGCCCACTTATGAGGAAGCCGTCTCTTCAAATATGGGCGTAGAACAATAATAATAATAAAATAAAAAATTATAATTTTTGTTTTAAAAATTAATTTAAAATTACAGTTCTAAAACTAATATAAGAAATAAAATGGTTTTGAAAATCAATTTTTCTAGAACTATATATTTAGTGTTTTTGAAATTATTAATATAAATCTACAACAGTAAAATCTATAACTACAACAATAAAATTTACAGTTACTATTCTAAATAAAAAAAATAAAAGTCACATCACTTACCAATAATCCCCATTACTCTTGTCCATTTAAAGCCTATTTTAAGCTGTCTTGGAAACACTAGACGAGACTTGGAGATTGTGCTTTTAGGCAGTACTAGTTCGTTCCATGCTTCAAATTCAAGATACGAACAGTGAGTGCAATTTACTGGACATGTTCTCCAAAGGTAGCCTTCTAGTAGTAGATCATGGGAAAAGAACCTTTGGCCAAATAAAAAGAACGATATATGCGGATTAGATGGTGCAGACGAGGAGGTTATGGATCTTGATAATGAATGAAACTAAGTCCCACATCGGTAGTTGGAGAAGTAATTAAGTAATATATAAAGGGTTAGGGCCAATCCACTTATCACCAATTGGTTTTAAGTTGGAAGCCCATAATAAACCCGAATCTAACATGGTATCAGAGCCACCCGATGTTGGGCCACTCCGTGGATGTTGTTCCCACATTTGTCCACGCATGAGCGTGAGGGGGAGTGATAATGAATGAAACTAAGTCCCACATCGGTAGTTGGAGAAGTAATTAAGTAATATATAAAGGGTTAGGGCCAATCCACTTATCACCAATTGGTTTTAAGTTGGAAGCCCATAATAAACCTGAATCTAACAGATCTCTCACTTTCATACGGCCGGTCTGAGATTTAGAAATCTATAAAAATAAGTTATGACTATATAAAAATTTGATTTTACAAATTGAGGATCCTAAAATCCTTTTTTTAAAAAAAAAAAATTAGAGGTTTAATTTAATGTTTCACTATAATAAATTTACCAGGACCAGTGGTGCCACTATACGGGTCTTGCCATAATTCTAGCTAGGCATGCGGGTCTGGTTAGTTTGTGTTATTTGGTTCGGTTAGTTTTGGTTCATCATAAATCTTATTGAATTAAATCTAAAATAAAGTTTGGTTAGGTTCGGTTCGTATAAGTTAGTTCGGTTTACCGAAGTTTTTGATTTCAGTTAAACTTTATTTTAAATTTGTTAAAATTTCAGATAATTTTGGATAATTTTGGTTAGTTCAATTTTTCGGTTAGTTTGGTTCAGTATAAATCTTACTGAATTAATTTAAAATAAAGTTTGGTTAGGTTCGGTTCGGTTCGGTTCGAATAAATTTGTTTGGTTTTTGAAATCCTACAAAAAAATTAGAGTTCAGTTAATTTTGGTTAATTCAATTTTTTCAGTTAGTTTGGTTATAAATTTGGTTAACTCGGTTTGAGTTTTGGTATGATTTGGTTGTATTTAAAAAAAAAATCGATGTACCGAGTGCTGAAGATTTTGAAAAAAAAAATCTAATCGAACTGAATTCTAGCCAAAATTTTTGGTTCGGTTGGTTTCGACGAGTTCGGTGCAGTATCCCAGCCTAATTCTAGCAATTCTATGCGACTTTTTGAAAGTATGGACGCCTTTGTGGTTGGACTGAGGCCCCTAAACGCTTTCTTGGTTCATATCAAAGACTAGAGGATTTAGATATGGAGTTTCTTGATTGTATAAGCACCACAAAACTTATCCAGCTTTGCCATGATTAACGAGTATAAAGAATGTTCTTAGTGAAATGGTTGTGGAGTTACAATGAGAGGTTAAGCCATCAACGAAGCCAAAAAGACATAAGAGAGTTGAAGTGCCTCATAGGTTTTCTAGCAGCTAGTGTTTTTCGAACTTCCTTATGAACCACCCGGAAAAACAGCGATTGGAGTGACAGAAACTTGGTTGTGGATGAAGTTATCGCACTGCTTTCAGGTGTGGAACACTGTAGCTATTGTAAGCCCTTAATCAAATCATAGATATGATATTTGCAGTTTAGCAACAAAAAAAAAAGGTCACTTTTTTACAACCAGGTTCGATGATTCATCAAACCTTGTTGTAAAAACGACCATTCTTATACACGAGGCCACATTTGAAGATAGAAATGATGGCTTTGGATAAGAATCATAACACGATTAGAGAGAAGCCATCATTGTGAGATCTTCTACGGGTGTGTATGGGATTCTTCTCACGCTGTCACGCATTTAGCCTAAAGATAATCTCAAGATTCGGGTTTTTAATGACTCGCATATGCAGCACAACATGCTTAACCTGTTTTTGACCAAATATACTTAGAATGTTAAGTCGTTTGTATATCCAAATTAAAAAAAAAAAAATTATCATATAATAAAACCATCAACTGTGATGGTATGAGATTTCTATACGAATCACTTTAATATACGTACAACAATAAAAATATCGATTTATACTTATCTACATTACGAAATTAACTAAACAAATCCATAACTTCTCTTTTTTTTTAGCAACAAAAAAAAAGAACTTCTCTTATTTGCTTTAGCTTTTGTTTTCTTGTACGAGGTTTATGCCTTTGGTTTTTGTTTACCCTATGTTGTATTGTTGTTGATCATGGATAGGATCCAACAAGACTCATTGTTCAAGTGATCCTGGATAGGATCCAACAAGACTCATTGTTCAAGTGATCCTGGATAGGATCCAACAAACTCATTGTTCAAGTTGTATCAGCATTTAAAAAAAAAAAAGAATCCATAACTATAGACTATTACATGGGTTTGTAACAAGATGTCTGACGAAAAGCATATACCCCCCACCCCCCCCCCCACCCCACAGGCCCACACCACAGCAGAGCATACCGAGAATAGTTTCACCTTCAATTCTGTTCTAGCCTTCTAGATTTCAAAAAAAAAAAAACTTTTCAGATATCAACAAAAATTAGTTAAAACAAGTCATGTTGGAGATATTGAATTAAAACTTGTAAAAAAGTATAGTTCAGTTTTGCTTATTCATGATATTTCAACATTTAACAGAATTAGAAAATGATAAGAGTGATCATGAGTAATAGTGGCTTTGGATGAGCTGGGAGACAACTATTACACGAGTAATCTCACATAACTCAAGTGTGATTA